CAGATAAAGTCTAGCCAGAGACTGACTGGGAGAATGAGAAGCCTCTGGAGTGTGAGTCACACTTCATAGTTACTCCACCTTGAAGTAGAGGGGCTGAGCTTTGGCACCTTGTAATAGAAAGGCACTGCCCCCCCACCCCCCTGACCTGGTGTGGGGTTGTCACTGCCCAGGTGTCTCTTGGAGAAGTGTCACCCGTCAGTTGAAGGAAAGTCTCCAGAGATGGGCTCAGGTGTGAGCTGCTAGCTACAACACTTTTAGAGCTGGAGGCTGGGTGTGGTGGTCAATAAAGGAGCCCTGGTGGGACACCCACAGCATCTCTTCTAGCAGCTGAGACTTACAAAGTACAGATTATGTGTCCAGCGCCATCATAAATGCTTCATGTGCATGAACAAACGTAACCTTTAAGTAACCCTATAATGTAGTTATTCGTATTCACGTTTATCCATGTTTTACAGTAAAGCGGCTGAGACACAGAGGTTACACATAACTTGCCCGAGGTTCCTCAATAAGTGAGTGATGGAGCCAGGATTCAGACCAAGGAAGGTTGGTTCTAGATTCCATGCCCTTAAGTGCTACCTCAGTCTATTGAGTCTTAACATGCACCAGGCACTGTACTAGGCATTGGGGATTCAGCAGTGAAATCAATACAGAAATCCCTGCCCTCCCTGATGTTACTTTCCAGTGAGGGAAGATGGACTAGGAGTGAATAAGTAAACTTTATGATCCAGATGGTAATAAGTGCTAAGGAGAAAAGTAAGTAAGGGAAGGGTGGTACGGAGTTCTAGTGGCAGCCATAGCTTTGAAGAGGGTGGCCCAAGGCGGCCCTCATGTAGAAGCCATTTTAGCAAAGATCCAAAGGAGGTGACTTCTCTGCTGCCACTCTGACCACTCCCTCTGGCTGACCCTGATTTACTTTCCCTCTGCACAGCTGCAGGGAGATTCTTGCGAATCATCTGTTCATGTTCCTTCCCTGAATGACACCCTTCAGTGGTTCCTCTGCCCTTAGGATAAATCCAGCGCTCCCGCCATGGTATGAGATGCATCCTGATTTGAGGTCTGCTTCCATTCCTGCCTCTTCTCGGAAGGCCTGCTTCTAACGTTGTGATGCCCGGGGCAAGAGTACAAACGGAAACCCACATACCCTGTGTGTAAATATTGAAAAGTAATATAGCAAGCTGACAAACTGCTAAATAAAACATCTACCCTTTACTTTGACAAATATATCTTCATAGCGAATTAGGAAGCCAACTTCACATTTAGATTTGTTAGACTGCTCTGAGTTCCATGCTGGAACTTGGCAATCCAGGGAGACTGGCCCCTAGCCCATGGTTGCCTCCCTTCTCTGCCCACTGCCCAGCTCTGTCTTCCTGCAAGCATGTGGACTCCCCAGCTCACATATCCATGTTCTAGCCACATCTCTGTGCTCGTACTGGTGGTGTTACTTGTCCTTGGGGGATTGGACCCAGAGAAGAGGTACATGGGGGCAGGGCGCCTGGGTGGCTCAGTCGTTAAGTGTCTGCCTTCGGCTGAGGTCATGATCCCAGGGTTCTGGGATCGAGCCCCACATCGGGCTCCCTGCTCGGGGGGAAGCCTGCTTCTCCCTCTCCCACTCCCCCTGCTTGTGTTCCCTCTCTCGCTATCTCTCTCTCTGTCAAATAAATAAATAAAATCTTTAAAAAAAAAAGAGGTACATGTGGGCCCAGGAAGTAGGTTAAGGGTCTTTTGGGTGGAGAATTTTAGGGTTTTAGGTAGTAGGAGCTTAGTCTAGAAGGTGGGTGGACTCTAGGTGGCAAGTTGCTTTGTTCTGTGGTGAAGGGAGGGTGTGCAAGAGGGTCAGAACCCAGAACAGGGCTCTCTAAAGCACTTAAAGCAGCACCCTCTCATCACTCTCTGCCTCTTATCCATGTGCCTAAACAAAGTGAACTGCTGGAACTTTTCAACATGCCATGCCCTCTTGCTTCTGTGATTTTGTGATTTCGCACAGACTGCAGAATAGAGGACATACAATTGGAGGCCTTGTCCTACTTGCCCTCAACTTCTGTGAGCATCCTAACCTAATCCGCTATCATGGGCTCTTAACCCCCACCCTCAATTACAAAAACACATGAAACACATGTAGTGGCAAATGGTAGGGTATAATATGATATAGTGACCTGAGCATGGGCTTTAAAGTCTTGGTTTTGTCTCTGTTTATCCACTTAGTAGTCATGTGACTTTAGGCAAATTCTGTGCCTCAGTTATTTCTTGCATGGAGATAACCAGACCAAGTGTATAAGTTATTGTAAGGATAAAATGAAATAATGGGTATCAAGTGCCCGACCCCAGGCCCTGGCATAGAATAAGCATTGGTAAAAAGTTCTTTTCCCTCCCCCAACCATGCTCTTTCCTTGAAAACAAACATACAGAGCGCCTTGGGAGATTAGGCTGCTTTCATAGAAAGATGCCAATTAGATTAGCTCTCAGCACTCAGCCCCTGGGCGCCTGTCCCCATCTCCTGAGCTAGGGAGAATTTCCTAGAGAATATTAGTGCCTGTTTCTACTTTTGGTTGTTAGGGATTATTAGTTAATAGTGTGTAGGCTGCTACTGATCACCACGTTTAGATACTGGGATAGTCACACTCCAGCTCTTGATGGCAACACTGACTATTTGTCGTTAGGGATGAAGATTTCTCCTGTCAGCATAATTACAGTAACAACAGTGGAACCCGGGGAGCAGGTAAACAAGGAAGCTGGTGATCTCTAAGGAAAGGCAAGACCACGGTTACCTTGCAGTGCCTGACATAGTGGGCATGCAGTGACTGTGAGTCAAGCCAAATAAAGTTAAGAACAATGAGAGAAGCCAGTAAACTCCAATAGAAAAATGGATAAAAGAACTAATTGGGTAAGTCACAGAGAAATACTTATGGGCCAATAAGCTATAGCTAGTAATCAAAGAAATGCAAATTTAAATGTAATGCAATATTTTTCCTAGAAAGTGGGCAGAGATTTAAAAAATTCATTGGCCAGTGCTGATGAGGATACAGTAAGGGGGGTGACTCTCACACATGGTTAGTGGACATAGAAGTTGATATGCCTTTCTGTAAAGAACTAATGAGAACGATTATGTTACGGTATAGGTATAAGATGGACTATGCGTCATTAAATGTAATAGTTTTGAAGACATTTTAGGTATGAGAAAAAATTCTGTGTTGCAGTAAAAAGCAGAACACTATGCAGTATGAAAATTACATGCACAAAAAAGACAGGAAGGAAATAGACCAGAGTATTATAGCTTCTTACCATTAGCATCTCTTATGTAGATCTTTGAATATTTTAACTTTTCTATAATTAGCAGGTATTTCTTTTATAATGGGAAGGAAATTCCATAAATTAAGAAAGAGTCACTTTGCTTTCAGATGATGGGGCGGAGAAAATTATTTATGGAAGACTCTGGCCATTTGTCGTCTCAGTAAGAGTCAAAGAAGGAGAAGAGGCAACTCCTTTTCTTTGGGGTGCAGGATTTGAGGAGGAACAAAAGACTCAGCCTTCCTCTCATGTTGAGTCTAGTCTTTTGTATCAACAACAAGAAATGGAAAGAGTCTCCTTGCCCAGGGAGTTTTGGGAAGCCTAAGTAAGCTGCTGTATGCTTGAGACATTCACACAATCACAGGGGCTGTGGTCTCTTCACCGTCTGTGACATTCTCATCATTGGTTGAGATTTGAGAATGAAGCCTGAAGAGGGGCTTTGTTTCCTTTTGTGGCTCAAATCGTCCAATTGTGCCTTACCTCCAGTAGCTCTAAATGACTGATGGGTGGTGGGACACATCTGTGGGTTATGCAGCATGCACAGTGGTTAAAGCAAGTGCTATCTGGGAAATAGGAAATTAAACAAAACACCCTAAGGTAGTACTACACCAGGATTTATATAAAAATGTGAATTAACCAAAATCTGTTTTGAGTTATAAAATAGATACATAGGTTAAATAAACTAAGAAGGATGGACGGAAATACCCCTAACTATCAAAACATAGAATTTCTTCCACACTGACATGTTATAACTGTTTTGACCTGCATTTTTTTTTTCCCTTCCATTTCTTAGGAGTTATAAAGTCCAAGTGCTTAGAGACAGGTTGCTACTTAATAAGCTGTATGGCAACATCTTGATTCACTTAGCCTGATTACTTTTTGGTTTTCAAGATGGTCACTGTATCGTCATCTGGCCTTGATTTCAAGAGTAGTTTCCCCTCTCTTAGCTTCCTGAAACACGCCTTTTTACACCCGGGCTGGTGTAATGGAAGTACGTGAGAAAACTGGACTACATGCACGTCCCAGCCAGTCCCACCCTTGGCCATCTAAGAGCAATCAGCACGACTCAGCAACCTGATTTAAAAAAAAAAAAAAAAAAAAATTGATATACATTTAAACTACAAGTTACACATTTTAAATACAATGGTGGCAAATACATGTTATCAGTGCTTCTTGTACCATTTGCTAATCAATGGATAGAATCAGCCTAGAGCCCTTTATGGACAAAGATTTTTTGGCCCAGTTTGGGTTCAGTGGTAAAGCATACCAGTGTCTGTCATTGATGTGGGCACAGGGAAGGACAGATGCATACCAAAGACTTTCTATCTCAGATTTAAGGGCAGTAGGGTCCTTGTCTTTAGAGAGCTTGCATTCAAATAGGGAAAGCATGATTCATGCCAGGAGCAAGAAAAGGAGCCAAAAAGTAAAACACAATTATGAACGCTGGAATAGTAAACATCCAAACAAGTACAACTGACTGTAGGGAAGGCTGAGTTACTTGCTAAGTGCTGGGAGAAGCCAGAATGCCCTTGGTCAGATGGGGTTAATCTGGAAAGGTTTTCTGAGGCAGTGCATTTTGCCCTGGAGACGTGGTGTGAAGTTGGAGGGGTGGTCCAGATTAAAAGGAATGCAGGTATCTGGGATGCTTTTTGCCTGTGTTCCCCAAAGTCTCACCCACCCAGAGTGACCATGCCTGACCTCTGACCTCCCCACAGTGAGGACGTGTGCAAACGTGGCTTCACCGTCATCATCGACATGCGGGGCTCCAAGTGGGACCTCATCAAGCCCCTCCTCAAGACGCTGCAGGAAGCCTTTCCAGCCGAGATCCATGTGGCCCTCATCATCAAACCCGACAACTTCTGGCAGAAGCAGAAGACCAACTTTGGCAGCTCCAAATTCATCTTCGAGGTGAGCCAGACCTCTCCCTTCGCACCCCCTTTCCTTTCCCCTTCTGCTACCCACACATTTCTCACTTCTGCTTCTTCACCTATCCTATGATATGCAGGGTGGCAGGGGCTGATATTTCAGGATTCCTTGGGTACTGTGGCCTTACCAGCGAGTCTTGGAAGGAATAAGAGGCTCGAGAGATTGTCCTGAACTCTCAGCCAGTCTGTTGAAATGCTGACCCTGGCTGGTTTGCGGCTCCTGCGTGTTCTCCCACTCGCCCTTTCTGAGGCACGCTGTGGTCATTAACGTGTGGATTTATCTCAGCCTTTCCCCTTGACTTCCTGCCCTCTGCCTACCACTGCCCTGCCCGCCCCACATCACTGAGTCCCCCCTCTGTGTCTGCCCCTCCCAGACAAGCATGGTGTCCGTGGAGGGCCTCACGAAGCTGGTGGACCCCTCCCAGCTGACCGAGGAGTTCGATGGCTCCCTGGACTACAACCACGAGGAGTGGATCGAGCTGCGGCTCTCCCTGGAGGAGTTCTTCAACAGTGCTGTGCACCTGCTGTCCCGCCTCGAGGACCTGCAGGAGATGCTGGCCCGGAAGGAGTTCCCTGTGGACGTGGAAGGCTCCCGGCGGCTCATCGACGAGCACACACAGCTCAAGAAGAAGGTGCTGAAGGCCCCCGTGGAGGAGCTGGACCGGGAGGGGCAGCGGCTGCTGCAGTGTATCCGCTGCAGCGACGGGTTCTCGGGGCGCAACTGCATCCCGGGCAGCGCCGACTTCCAGAGCCTGGTGCCCAAGATCACCAGCCTCCTGGACAAGCTGCACTCCACCCGGCAGCATCTGCACCAGATGTGGCACGTGCGCAAGCTCAAGCTGGACCAGTGCTTCCAGCTGCGGCTTTTCGAGCAGGATGCCGAGAAGGTAGGAGGGGAGCCGCCAAACCCAAGTGGAGCTTGGGGAGAGAGGGCCCATAGCTTTTTAGGGGAGCTTATGGAGGCTGCTAGTACAACTTCCTGATGAATAATACTTCCTTGGAAAGCTTTAAAAAATGTACCTACTGGGGGCAGCTGGGTGGCTCAGTCAGCCGAGCGGCTGACTCTTGATTTCGGCTCAGGTGGTGATCTCAGGGTTGTGGGATCAAGCCCCCTGTGGGGCCCCATGCTGAATGTGGAGCCTGCTTGAGATTCTCCCTCTCTCTCTGCCCCTGCCCCCCCCCACTGTGTGTGTTCTCTCTCTCTCTCTCAAAAAAAAAAAAATGTGCTTACTGGTTTTGGCTGATTTACTTCAATCATATATTTGGTCATTGATCACTGGCTTTTTAAAACTCCCCTTACATAGTGTTTATTATGTGCCAGGTAGTGTCGTAAGCACCACGTGTAAATTAACTTATTTTAAACATCTCAACAATCTTATGAGGTAGGTGTATTATCATTATCCCGTTTTACAGATGAAGAAACCAGAAAGGTAAATAACAGCCAACCTGAGCCATGCGAGGCGGCTCCAGAGTCCACACTTGTACACCGGGGCACTCTGCCCCTGTCAGGACATGCAGCGAGTGGGGCAAGTCGGCTGAACAACAGCAATAATAATACTGTTACGACTTGGTGATTACTGTCCTGCAGTGTCCTTTACCATTGACCAAGTGCTTTCACAGGCGGCCTCTTATTTAATCTGTGCGGCCCTTTGATCCTTTGAGGTGGGTGGTGGTGCCTCAGCTGACATGCAGGGAAACGGGTGCTCTTTGATCTTGGGGCTTTAATGGCAGACTTGACATATGAATCCCGCTTTCTTCCCTTTGAAGTTCAGGGCTCTTCCTTCCATACCACTTCTTTCTGGAGGTTTTTCCTCAGCTGCTGAGTACTTTCTCAAGCGAGACCCCATTTTTCCAGCAGTGACTTTTCAAAGCTTTCCCCTTATCAGGGGACATATGAGAAAGTGAAAAAGAAAGATGGATCGTGCCTATTTGCCAAAGACACAAAAGTATCTTCTCTAGATTCTCTCCAAGCTAAAGAAGGGAGTTTACTTCATACATAATATGCACTTTAAGAAGAGTGAAATGGGTTTTCCTCCTATCAGTTTTCTGGGGGGAACTTATATTTAAATGCATAATACTAGTCTTAGCGATACCAGGACATCTCAGTCACCTGTGAGTTTTACCGACAGCGTCTGACATAATGGTTTTGTGTCTTTTAAGAGCCTGTATTGAAAATGTCTCTAGGTATTTGTAAGTAATGAAATCAGGCTACAAAACTGTATATGATTATGATCCCAATTTATGTGAGAGTGCTAACACAGGTATAAATGGGAAAAAACTCACCACAGTGCTAATAGTTTTGATTTCAAGGGGCCAGGCTTATGGTTGATTTTAATTTCTCCTTATATTTTCTAATCTCTTATAAAATCAGATGAAAACCAACATATGTGATTTTTAAAGACTGCATAGCTGCTTTCCACAAAATTTAAGCCAGTTTTTGGAAGGGACATGTAGAGGGGTTTCTGGCACAACCTTAGGAGTTTCGAGGTCTCCCCCGCCTTCCTGACGCCTCCTTGCCCAGGGGCCTGGCAGCCGAGGTCCAACCCTGGCCCTGCCCCACCCTGGGAGGGGCCCTTGGGACTACAGAATCCCTGTCACGGCTCACCAAATGAGGAGAGACACCAGGTCAGAAGCAGCTGCTCTGTGAAGCCAGCGGCAGGTACTTTGGCTCCTGTGGCCAATATTGGAAAGGTCTGGACGTCTCCTTCTTGCTTGCGGTCTCTTCTGCTCTGGGGCAGGGAATCTGCTTTGCAGTCTGGCCCGGGTGCCTGTTTCAGTGAGCCATGGTCAGAAGGGGAGGGCAGGGGACTCAGGTCTGCCTAGAAGTGTTTTGTTGGAGGCATTTCACCGCATCCCTGAAGCTCAAGGTTATGGGAAGCCTTCATGGGGCACAGATAGTGCCTGTCTCAAAAACAAAACAAAACAAACAAAACAGAACACCTGAGCCTCAGAAATCCCCAGGTAGGGAAGGAAGGCTGACCTTCTAGAGTCGGTCAGGCACTGGTCAACTAAGCAGTCATTTCTGCCACACATTGTATCTTCTCAATTCACGCTCACAAGATTCTTATGGTATAGTATTGTCCCTATTTCACAGTCCAGGAACGCTCAGAATGGATGCTGACAGGCACTGGAAGCTCAGACAGATGAAGTGGCTTGCCCAAGATCACACTGTGGGTCAGGCAGAGCCAGTACTGGGTCTATGTCCGAAGCCCCCCCAAACTCTGACCCAGCAGCCGTGCTAGCTGTCTGCTCCCAGGAGCTGCCTCATGCTATTGCTGAGCACTGCCTGTCAAGCCCTGAGCCCGCTGGCCCACGCCCCGGGGACTCTGGGGACAATCTCAAATCCCACCTTTGAATGTCCACTGGACAGCAGGGGCTCTTAACCTTCTGTGCTATGGACCCTTCTCAGAATAACATTTGTAAAGGTACAAAATAATATATAGGCTTAGAAAATAATTATTGAAGTACAGTTACTGCATTTTTAAAAAAAACAGTAACTTTTATACTTGCTTAGGAACACGTTAAATAACAAGCTCTATTTGAAGTCCTATAACTACCATAATTTTGAAGTACTGATGAGCATATATGACATTTCAGGGCAACATGTGTGTGTTTCTATTGCTGTCAGAGGCATGACTATTGCTAACATTAATGTAGTTTGCTGCCTACATTCATAATCGAAGGGAATGCTGTATTTCAGTTAAAGGTTAGTGAAAATCAAGGCGTATTTTTTTCCCTATCCAAGTACACAATCCCTCAGTTCTATGCAGGACTCTTAAGTTTAGGATCCATGTCCCAGGTGTGTTCATACCATAAAAAGGTGTGTGTGTGTCTGTGATGTGTGTGTAGAGGCGGGGGAGAGAATATCAAAAATGAAACAGGGGCAGTGAAGGGAGGATGGGAAGAAGACAGCCCAGGAATATTTTGATACTGAGTCAGTGATGAAAATGTGGCTCAGGCTTGACCTAGCTGCCACAGAAAATGTGCTGGGTGTGGGGCAGGAGAGAAAAACAGTCCTTTTAAGTTGCTTCAAGATTAATTTAAAATATCTGTGCAGAACCGAGTGTCTCAGCCCTTGACTTATTTGGTGTTTTTGAAAGAGGGTGAGGAGGGTGGCGGTTTGGGGTAAGGGTTGTGTGCGTGGATCCACATCTAAACAAGAGTGTGAGGAAATAGTTACTGCATGAGCCACATCTTAGCCTCCTTTCTGGTGGGAGGCCTGTTGGAGGCCTACAATTCTGGATCTGGGAAACTCGATTGGTGCTCGCCCAGCTACTATTTTTGTGAACGGGTGAGTGCAGTCCCCCTGCTGGCCCTGTGGGTGACAGCTTGTTTCCCAGGGCTTGAATAATAGGTGTTGCTCCCCATTTACCAGCTGGCCTTGGGGACTGAAGCCATCTCTCCCCACTTCCCCCTGACCTCTGAAATGACCCTTCCTCACCTTGGGAGTGGGGTGGGGAGGGAGCCATTTTCTCTGCAATCAAACATTTCGGGAGGGGGGACACTTCCACAGATAATTCATAAGGTGGGCCACCCATTTATTTCATAAACTTCCATTGAGCAGCTGCCATGAGCCCAAAATGAGGCACTTGGATAAAGATGAGTAGGCTAGAATATCTGTCCTGGAACAGCAAGCTGTCACAAACTCCTAGTTATTATTATTTATATCTGCGGTGTGCACCCCCTATCCTAGGCACAGCCTCCACGACTGGGGAGGTTTTAGAGAAGAGGGAATGTTGCAGCTCAGGAATGATAGGGAAGCCTTAATGGCAACCTGTGGGAGGACTGGACATTTCAGAGGTGATTCAAGTAGTACACAGTGCATCTTGTTGGGTGCCCTGTGCCTTGGTCCTGTGCTCTCCAGTCTATGACTAATGGGCCTGTCCTCCACTGTGCTCACAGACCACAGGCGGGTCACTCCTCATTAGCAGATGCAGATTAGGGCTCTCTTTGCAGACCTGTCTCACAGCTGATTGTGCCCACAGCTGCCCAGGACCCTGTGTGATGGAGGCGTCTGCCCTGCAGTCACATCCCGCTACTGGAGAGAAGGGAGGCCTCTTCCCCAGTAGTGGGCAGTTTGTGGTATTAAGAGCATTAAGTAGACTTGTTCCTCGTCCTCTTGCTGCCCAGTGGAGGATCCTCCCTAGCTGCCCCCACCCCCAACCCCACCGCACCTTTCCTGGGTGCCTAGGGCACATCTTAGAATGGCAGAGCTGGAAAAGACCTTGAGATCAGAAAGTCTACCTCCCACACACTGTGAGGAACCCAGCCTTGTCATCCTGGTGACAGCCATTGTGACTTCATGATGCCCAGCAATGTGCCAATGCCAATGACGTGTATCAGAAAATATGGAAGCTGCCTCACCATCCACCTTGCGGTGTGCAGAAGGCCCACAGTCTTCTAGTCTTTGCAGGAAAGAAGTGCCTCAAAAGCCTCCAGTGTGTGACTGACTTAACTGGTACAGAAACCTTCACCTACTCTGTTTCTAAATAAATCCTGATGTCTACCCAGGAGGCCCATGTTCTAGTCTTGCCCAAAGCCATTCCAGAAAGAAGTATATTCCCACCCCCTTGTGGGAGAATTCCCTAAAGAGTGCACAAGGCTACCCCGCAGGGCTTCCAGTATTGGAATCATGCTCATTATTGGTTTATGCAGCACAGGGTTGTTTCCTGTGTAAAGCTCTGCTTGGAACATGCTCCAGACCAGACCTTTAGCACCACAGTCATGAGGGTATTTAGGTGCCCACCTCCTCTGCGACCAAGGCATGTGCTCACAGGAGACCGTCGCAGTTGCTTCGAGGAGACTGGCCTCACCACGCTGCCTGTGGGAAAGCTCCCTTTGGAGAACCGAATTCTAAATGCCTTCCTGCATGTTCATTCTTGCATGC